TGGGAGTCACTAGAGTTTATTGAGCCAGGGATTAATAGATATGCTCAGATATGTGCTTTAGGAACATCATTTTTTGTTTTTTTAAATAGTATTTTATTTTTTCCAGTTACATGCAAAGACAATTTGTAACATTAATCTTTTTTATAAAATTTTGAGCTCCAAATTTTCTCCCTTCCTTTCCTCCCTCCTCTCTAAGACGATAAGCAATTTGATATAGGTTATATATGTGCAATCACATAAACCATATTTCCATATCAGTCATGTTGTGAAAGAAGAAACAGTTTACAAAAAAAAATTAAGAAAGTGAAAATAGTATGCTTTGATCTGCATTTAGGCTCCATCAGTTCTGTCTCTGGATATGGACAGCATTTCCCATCATGAATCTTTTGGAATTCTCTTGGATCATCATTTTGCTCAGAAGAGCTAAGGAATATCATTTTGGCAGCTGTAGGATGGATGGATTAGAGGAGAGACTTAAGGCAAGAGGCTATTGGAATAGTCAAGAGGTGAAGAAGGCCTATAAAATATGAGCGGAGAAAAAAGGGACAAATATGAGAATCACTGCAGAAGTAGAACCAACAAGGCTTGGCTACTGATTGGATCTGTGGGCACTAGAAGCTGGTGATGCCCTTGCAGAAACTGGGAAATTGGGAAGAGGGGTGGGTTTTTGCTTTCCTCCAGCATATCCGGTGATACTCAATAGGCCATTAGTGAAAAGGGACTGGAACTCAGGAGAGTGAAGAGGGCTAGATAAGATCTGGGAGTTATCTGCATAGAGCTGATTTTTAAACCCAGAGGAACTGAGGGGTCACCAGATGAGAGGGTGTTGACAGAGAAGGGGGACCAGGACAAAGCCTTGGGGCACATTTATAGTTAGGAGGCAAGATATGGATAATGATCCAGCAAAAAAAGCCTGAAAAGGAGCATTCACACAGGAAGGAGGAGAACCCAGAGAAGACAGGAAGGAACTGGGAAGGAACCTTCCAGGGCTGTTTGCTGGAAAGTGTCAGGGTGGGGTGGAGATTTCCTGGGTTTACTTTTCCCCCAGTTCCACTCTTCCAGAACTACCTGGCTTGGAGTTGAGGGAACCTCTTCCAGGATTCAAAAGAACAAAATTTTAGAGGAAGTTCAAGGACCAGCAAGTCCAGCTCTCCCATTTTACAGGTGGGGAAACTGAGGCCCAGAGAGGGGACACGCCCAAGGTACTGCAATGAGTTTGTGACAGAGCCCATATTAGAACTCGAGTCCTACTAACCCCACCCAGCCCATGGCTCTTTACTCTTCATAAACGCATATCTGAAGTCTCCCCACAGCCGTCAGAGTGACCACTCCAGGAGCTAGCGGCATCGTGTGCAGCCTTGGCTAGCTGTGCCTGGGGCTGGGCAGGGCTGGACTGGCTGGGCGGGGCCGAGCTAGGAGGCTTCTGAGCCCAGCCCAAGCGGAGCTTGGGAGTGGGATCCAGGAGGACCATGGCTCTGTGAGTAGCACTCCCTCCCCTGCCCTCTTGGGGACGGCCCCCCTGTTCTGGAATGCTCACGGCCCCCATTCCCCTTCTGCAAGTGAGCATGAGAA